ACTCAACAAGAAGAGGTCATCGCTTGAAGCTTTGGTGGATGAGAGGATTATCAGACAACATTATCGCTCAAATGATTAAATAACATGACAAACTGTTAAGGAAAGGTCATCACCCACCAAACAACTCTTCATGACCTGGTATGTTGGGCGATGAGGACCCTTATCGCTCCGCACGTTGAGCGGATAACACCATTTAAACCCATGACTTGGACGATGAGAATGGTTATCAGCCAGTGCTTTGAGCGATTACTAAGGTTATCGCTCAACACTTAGCCAAAAATACATCCAAGCCTAATAATATCACTCAACAAAGTTTATAAAGGCCAAGTCACCAACAATTTTGGCTGATGAATATCCTTTCATTGCTCAAACTAGCTTCAGATCATCATTGGGAGAAGAAAACCCCTTATCGCTCAACAAGAACATTCATCAAGCGATAAAGATGAATCTGACAGTATCAAGGTACATTTCGAGTAACAGATCATCAAAAATCCAAAAATTTCAAATAGAACACCAAAATTGACGACCAATATAGGTTCGAATTCACCAAAGTGGAAATCCTTTGAAAGAAATTTGATTAGAACAATGAAATCAATGGTGAATTGATCAAATTAAGCTCAAAATAGTCGAATAGGAAGCTGTGAGTTCACAAGTAACGTTCCATTGAACATAACAGAAAAATATCTTGAATCATCGTATCGATTAAGATGAATCGATTCTGCTCTGATACCAATTGTGGAACCTATATCTAACAACAATTCAATATACAAACAATAATTAAGAGATAGAGATGAAGATCATGAAGATGAAGAACCGACCAATTTTCTTTATTCATGAAAACAGAAAAGTAGAAAGCTCTCAATCACCTTACACGACTCTCATGGAAATTGTAATGAATGAACAAACTATATAATCAACTCTAATACTAAGCCCATGTCACCTATTTATAGGTAACATTTACAAGTAAAGCCCAATGCCCTTAATCCCAATTACAAGAATATAATAATACAATACAAGTAAAGGACTTTATAAAACTTTCATAATACTTAGGACTATTTTAGTCCTAACAAAATTACTCCGTTTAATTATAATATTTATGTTAAAATTCCAGAAACATTATATTGATTTATATATTTTTAGAATGCGCTTCGGCCACTGACCACATTGGTGATGGCACATTTGAAGGAGATGGGCCAATGGTGGATAAAAAGCAGGGCCTTTTTGGCGAGTAATCATTATGGACAATCAGACCTAGAAAGGGCATGTGTGACCATGATAATGATGAAAAAGAAAACAACGACGTCCCCCATCTGCAGCGCGTCAATCATTTGCAAAGCACGCGTCACATCCTCCACGATATTCGCTACAACAACGACATCCGTCTACGGCACATACCGACATCCCCGAATGGCGTGTTGAATTTAACCAATGAAATCTCGGGGTCAATGAATAGTCTGTGTCAATGACAGGCCTTGTAAATGAAAAATATGGGTTTCTCGACACGAGACTTGATAAGATTGAGAACGATGTGAAAAAATATATGCCGAATTTTGGCATGACATGATACAACCATTGGTAGGGTGGTTGCAGTAAATATGTTTAAGCTTTTGATGTTTTTACTTTACAAGTTAACAAGAAAATTAACTTTTATATGTTATATGAATTATGTATATGCAGTTTATATCAGAGCTGGAACCTATGATGGACGCAACACCATCTCCATCATCTAGGGTCGCGTTAGTGCCGCATGAGGAACATTGTTTGCCATATGCTCTTGAGAAGCCAAGCGAGTGAGCAAGAAATCGTGAGGGGTAAAATCTCCATTTATAGCCTTAAATACAAAGAAATGGGACAAGACAATGGCCACCCAAATGCTGCCGCCAATGCCCACATCGATCCCAATACCGACGCCCATACCGACGAAAATTTATGAATTCAAACATTATAATGAAAGTTATTCTTATTGAAACACCAAGTGTGACAAACAAGATATCAAACTTTCCATTCATCAAGGGCGATCTCAGTCACGTTCCTAAGATTCGCTATCTTCAGATTGCGATAATAAAACGAGAGTATGTAAAACGACGATTCAGGAGTCCCCCTCAACAATTGTAAGGCATACATATTTGCTCGTCATGTTTGGTTTTAGGAGATGCTAATATTTAACTGTTGTTTCACATATTTCATGATTTATTTTCCATGGTAGACTTTCTTATATACCTTCAAAATTGCTTCCGATATATGATCTTAAACCTTTTTATTCGCATTATGGTGGTTCGGGTGGATCTGGGACCTTGAATAAATGTGTTCATCATGGAACTTCGAAACCTGAAACATGATGGTACCATAGATAGAAACTGTCATTAAACGCCAATCACAGATTGAGGAGTTAGACACTGCCTCATAGCGATGTTTAGATTATTTTTTTAACCTTTATTTGGATTTCTTGAACGCATTTTAATCCCAATGCCATCTTCAATAAAATGTTTGTAGAACTTTTACATGTGATGTAGGATGGTAAAAAATGTTTCCCCTAGGTTTGATAACAGGGCAGGAGAAGGTGCTGGATTGGGCATACCCTAAAAATTATTCCTTATCGGATGAATTTCTACATCGTCTGAGTTATCGTCTTTGGGTGTATTTAAAATTTCTGCTGCAACAGAAAGGTCTTCAACCTTATTTACCTCCCAGAATGCCGACTGTTTTGGAGACTGCTTTGAACACTAGTTCAGGGACTAGATCGAAGACTGAATCGAAGGCTAGTTCAAATCCTGAAACAAAAAGCTATCATGGTTAAACTCATTTATTTGTTCAAAAAACTCCGTTGGTTGGGTTTGATACTATTGCTTTGTTATCGATGTCTCTAACACATGAACAAAGTTATCAGGTTCATTCATTACAGAAGCACCTGGTTGATTGATTCCGACAACATTATCGGGATACACACCACTACAACCAAGAAATGAACAACCGACGAGATACAAAATAATATGGATTTCAACCATTACTACCGAGGAAGAAACTATTTAGTTGATTTATTCTGGTAGCAAACTATGGATTTCCACCACTACCACCAGGGTAGAGAGTACTTGGTTGATTGATTCTAGAAGGAGTGTATGGATTTCCACCACTACCACCAGGGAAAAAACATACTTAGTTGATGAATTATGGCTCTTGATCGATCTTCACCATCACCACCACCATCGTTGACAACAAAGAGTGTCAATGTTTGCGATAAATTTTGGTGAACAATGTTTTGAAACATCAACACATAATCATCGTCACCTAGCTCAAATATCTCACAAGTCAAAGGAGTTTTATAAAATAAACTAAAACCGCTAAGAAAACTTAATTTTCTTGCAACACGCTTAACCAAACCAGATGTGTTATTGGTGATGGCAAAAGTAATATACGTTTTGGCGCTCCTAACAACATATACTCTATAACACCATTTATCGTTTGGAACGAACCATTACTTTGAATATATATAAGGAACCATTACTTTGAATATATATAAGGAACCATTATAACTTTGACGTGATTTCATATTTTTGTTAAAGGTTGTGATGGTAGATTCTGGTCTCTAATCTCCAGCTTCTGTCTTCGACATCGCTGAAGGATCTGTGGTATGAGTTTTTTTTTTAGTGAAGTATATCGGTCTCTAAATGAATTACAATACATGTTCCGCGATAACTGAACAGACTCAGCGAATATCGCTAAAATTGAATGATAGAAATAATACACTTCGATAGATAAAAGGATCATCATCAAATCATTGAGAGAGAGAGAGAGAATCAACAATCTCCCCCTATTTGATGATGACAAAGCAACATAAAGAAAATTACTTTAAGTTACATCAGTAAGGAAAAGGTACTAGTAAAATATTTGTCCCTTTTAACTGTTTTGGGATCTTTTTCAGTGATACAGTTTACTTACGAAAATTTACTTAAAGTTGTAAAGATTACAAGTTCAAGGATAAACTAACATAATAATGATAACTAAAACTGAAAGAATATTCACTGACTAGAAAGTTGTCAGTGAATGTAAGAGTACTGGAACTCATAATGCTTGCCCTTTTTACCTTTTTCAGGGATCTTTTTCAGTGAACTAATGATTTCATTGAATATCAAACAATGGAAAATATTACAAGTCTTTCATCAGCACTGGTAGACCTAGGGCTGTGCACGGGTCAGATCGGGGCATAAAACGGCTACCCCGATCGGGTATCGGGTTACAATACCATACTCCGTAATATGCAGTTCAGGGTCGGGGACACATCGGGTTCGGATCAGTTCGAGTATGGACGGGTTCGGGTTTTAGTTGTGCAAAAAAACATCAAACAAATTTTTTTTAACAATATTAAAAATATAGATGGACTCATGTTTAAATAGCATATATAAACAAGTGTGATTGATTATCAATGATTTGTCATATAAATTTAGGCAAGAATATGGCTGTATGAACTATGAATACATTGTCAATGATTGATTATCTATGGCTGTGTGAAAAGAACAACCTTGTCTGCACAATATAGACTAAGGTCATTAAAACAATATCAAAGTTATCTTTGATGCCTTTTAGTGAAGAAGAGGAGTGAGTAATGGAAACAGTTTTTGTTTCTGTATGCAAGTTAAAGTATTATTCTATCTTTTAAGAAACAAGTTTCTGCCTACTACCTAATGTGTTGCAAACTGCAAAGGATCGATGTATGTATTGTACCCAAACAACAAAACAACAATAGGCAATGAGGCAACAACCAACACAGTGAACACACATCAACAACAATAGAATAGTAACAATAATCAGTAACAAAACAACAACAGCAACAACAACAACAACTGAACAGCAACAGCCAACAACAACAGAACAGCAACAGGCCAACAACAATAGCCAACAACTCAACAAGGCAACAACAATAGCCTACCTATTTACTATGAACTAAAACAGTGAAACAACAAGAGCCAAGAGTGCAGAACAACAACATACATAGTTACTATGAACTAAAATTCATGCCAATCAAAACAATATGCAGTAGTATCAAAATGACATATCTGTCATATCCATATCAATATAAGTAATTAAGTATATAACACCAAAATCCAATGACTAAATACCTTTCAAAGTGGCCACTTCTAAACATTGTTCAGTTATTCTACAATACATCATATACCTCTAGATCATCGACATTAACTGTTGGAAGAGAATCCTCATGGTCAGTGACAAAACTTGAACTTCTAATTCTCATATTCATCATTTCTGAATTTATATAAACAAATTAAAAGAAGTAAGAACGATATAAATATACAAATTCAAGTATATACTAACATAAGTTGAAAAGGAAGACTAAAGTACATAATTAATGTCATACCTTTCTCAAACTTTTCAATATCATCTATGTTTTCTTCAACTGCAATTGGCTGACTAGGGCCTCTTAGCCAGTCTTGTGTACATATAAGAGCTTCTACCATTTTTGGAGATAAAGAACTCCTAAAATTATCTAACACCCTGCCACTAGTACTAAAAGTCGACTCAGATGCCACAGTTGAAATTGGAACAACAAGTACATCTCTAGCCAATTTCGAAAAGATAGGAAACCTTTCACTGTTAACCTTCCACCATCTTAAAATATCAAAATTATTTGTGTCATCTATGGTGGACTCACCTAGATAAACTTCAAGTTCACTCTTTTTGTTGAGTGAAATCCCACTTTCCATCTTTTGTTTCTTTAGTTGGTTTTTTAATCTAGATTGTACCCTTCCAACGGGAACATTTTCACACTTAACGGGTGGAGGAAGCATCATAGTGGTTGAAGGTTCAGAATATGTTGAGACATACTCTTCAAACAACATATTCATTTTATACTTTACCTTCTCAAAACATGACTTACCTTGATCCTCACCATACATTTGATTAAGCTGGACTTGCAAGTACTCAACCTTGTCTCTGGGTCCAATATATTGCCAAAAAATATAATAAAGTTAATCTTATCCGGATCACCCAAATATTTACTAAACTTCTCTTTCATTTTACCACCCATTTCCTGTTCATGAATCAAAAATAAAAAGTTATTCAACAACCAAATATAAGTAAATATTAAAAATTAAATTAAAGGAAGATAAACATACCTCTTCAACTTTCGACTTAGATTGTAACATATCGACAATAATGCAACTCAAATTTGAAATCTTGGTTAAGAAAGAATTTGAGATGACATAAGGTGAGCCATAAATTCTGATTGTCATTTCATAAAATGTCTTCAAAAATATAACCAAGTTGTCAACAGATAACCAATCAAGATATGAAGGCACCGAATCACCCAAATCCAAAGTGAGCATGGTGTCACTATTCTCATGCATTTCAAAAACTTGTCTGTAAGCTATTGCGGTTCGAAGAATCATATAGGTGGAGTTCCATCTAGTTGGAACATCAAGCCATAAAGAACTTTTCTCTTCCACCTTAAGCAATTCCGCAAGCTCTCTAAACTTCTTCAACCTAGATGGAGAACCCCTCACCCACCTAATGCAATCCCTAATCTTCTTAACTGATGTATCTGCGAATTTCAATCCATCTTGTACAACCAAATTTAGAATATGAGCAATGCATCTCATATGTATGTTCTCGGCCCTAGTAGAAGAACCACCCCACTTCACCACCTTCTTCTTCATGAAGCCAACGACAATATCATTGCTTGATGCATTATCAACTGTGATAGTGAAAATATTTTTTCTCCCCATTCAAGCAAACAACTCTCTATGGCTTTAGCTATACTTTCTCTTTTATGTGAATGTATAGGCACAAATGAGATGACCTTTTTATTTAGTTTCCACTCATCATCAATAAAATGTGCGATGAGACGCATATAATTGATTCTTTTAACATATGTCCAAGTATCAGTAGTCAAACTAATGCGCTGCATGCTTGACTTAAAGAATTTATTAAGGTTCGTCTTCTCTTCAGAATAAATACTAAATATATCTCTATTAACTGTTCATCTAGAAGGGATCTTAGATCTAGGGCATGAAGCTTCAACATACTGTTTAAAACCCCTCCCTTCAACAGGAAGTTCATCCATTATAATCATTTTAGCTAACATCTTTCGAACAACCTCTTGGTTAAAAACCCAAGATGTCAAAGCACCATCATAATTATCAGATTTTGCAGACTGAAATGCAAGAATGGATTGTTTTGTTTTCTTAGCATGTGGATTCTTTAAACAACCGTGCATGTGGCTATTTAAAGAGGAAGTACCATGCTTTTTAGCCTCAGCTGCATATACTTTTGAATAGTATGAACATTTACCTTCAATGACTAGCCCATCCTCTTTTAAAATCTTCCCAAAATGGTCCCATACTTGAGATCTGGATTATAACGTTTTCCTTTCCCTTGTAATTTTCAAAACAATGAGTTACAGTAGCATTAGATTGTAAAGGAGGAGGTTGATGACTGTTACTTCTAGACTGAGACATGCTAAGTTTTTCCATCTATAATTCTAAACAATATAACAATTATTAACAAGAAGAATGAGCAACTCAACAAAGTGTTCTTTTTCTAAACAAACCAGTATTAACAAAGATGTCAATCAAATATATTAAGTTATTACACCAAAAAACAAACAAAAATATGTTCTTTTTCTTTTTTGTGGTTCATCTGTGCAGTGTGCTACAAAAATCAACAAGATTCATCTATGGGATCAATGTAGGACTACAAAATGACTGGCTGCCCCGACTATAGGTCCAAGACTTCGACTCTAAGTCAATTAGGATATTTAGTTGGATGCCCAACCCAACGTAGCTACATAGGTCCAGCCATCCAGTTTAAGCTCAGTTTTGGCAAAAGTTGATCAAGACTGGTCAAGACCACTAACAAACAATATTTGAATTTATATATATATATATATATACACACACACACACATAAATACACACACAGAGATATAAAGAGAGAACAAAGTAGAAAAAGAATAACTGAATTGAAGTATTCAACTAGGTTTGGCCAAGCAACCAAAATTATGCCAAGATATTGGTTAAAGAAGTGATTACATACATTAAAGACTGGTACTTCAGGATTTGAACAAAAGTTAATTTTAACTTTTAAGTGTATTTATAAATTATAATGACTAGATCCTTCATCTGCCACTAATGTGGGTATTTGACCATAATTCATAATACATTAAACATACAAAAACAAAAAGGAGAATGGAGAATTGCACTATGGGATAATGCAGTCAGGGCTTTAGGCAGAGGGTTACCTCGTCTCGTCAATTTCAGTTTTCGAATGGCACTATGGTAGAATGTAGTGAGGGCTTTAGGCACTCAGATAGAGAGTCGAGAGACCGCTAGAAGGCTAGACCAGACTGGAGATGGAGAGAAACTAAGAAAGAGAGTCGAGAGTTCGAGAGAGGAAGAGTCTGAGAGAGGCAAGGGCGTAAGGTGCAACACGCAACAACAAGTCAGGCAGAGTCACGCAGAGGCGATTCGTAAGGCGAAAAGGTAGGCAGAGTCGAAAATCCCTAACCCTAAGTGGAAAATTTCAAAAATTAAAATGACCCTTTTTTTGTTTTCAGGTTTCGGGCGGGTTCGGAGGGTGGATTTAACCATCCTACCTTATCCGCCATACCTGATGTATTCTTTGTATTCGGACTTCAGTTATGTTTGGGTAACTTTGTTCGGTTTGGGTCGGTTTTTTTCAGTCGGGTAATTCGGGTACGGTGAGGTTTTGCACAACCTTAGATAGACCTATTACATACAGGTTATACACTGAAAGTAAATAAAAGAAAAATAAGATTACAAGATAGGAAGAACGTCTAATCTAAATCGCTGAAGTTGATATAACCAGGTACATATTCTCCAAGCTTCTTGCATCTCGGCATCTCCTTTCTGATGTTGCATTCCATCACCTTTCCAAAGATATCATTATCTAGCCAAGTCTTGAGATACTCCATATGATCTATAGAATAGAGGTGGAACTCGGATACTCGCTGGAACTTGTATTCACCGTCATTGTCAATGAATATAAGTCCATGCTCAGGTTTCACATGCACATTGGTGGGCATATAGGGACCCTTTGATGGCAGTGTCAGGTTCAGCTTTGAGAGATCTGGCTTCTTTTGATCCTTCAGGATTTCATCCAAAGAGAATTTTGTCTCATGTTCATTCTTGTGGTATGGTCCATATTTAGGATCAGAAAGGTGTTTTAGAGGGAGGCTTCTTTGGCAAAGGAGGGACTTCGATGATCTTGGACACCTTCTTGAATAAATCGTTGATGTCTTCAATCAACGGCTTATGTTTTGACTTTGATTGCTGAATAGCCTGTCGAATCTCCAACCATTAATCGAAGCCATACTGCCCAAGGTAAGAAGGGTACTCGATGACAACATCTTGATTCTCTTTGAAGATGACCAATGAGATAAGGAGTCCACCATCCTTCATTCGTCCACTGATGGTGACGTTTGAGATCTCGTGGGGACTTATCCTTTTCTCGATCCTTTCTTTGCACCACTTCAGGTCTCAGTCTTTCAGCATTAGTGCCCATTGATGTTCTTGTTCAGCTTGTGACAATAGCTGGGCCTGAGCTTTGAATGGATCCTTTTTCTTGAGTTCCCTTTGGCCAAAGCTTGGACATCTAGAGACTTAGGTAGCTATAGACCGTCCTTCAGTTGTTGATAGTGTATCCTCAGCTCTTCTTCAACTTTAAGGAACTCCTCTCTTTCAACTTGTGTGAGGAAATCAAACTTGCTACAACCAAAAGTATGAAGAGGGATTTTTACTCTGGTTTAGTTGAGCTGATTTAACAGATGAATCCTCCTTTGGTCCTCATCAGCTTTAAATGTTGAAATAATTGCTCGGGCTTCATCTGATGGACCAGAAGGGTAGGTTGGTGCAAAGAGTATGAGAGTATATGGCTCATAATTTGAGGAGAAAGGCATAAACCTGGAGCATTGTGCTACCTTCATTGGATCGATCGCCTTGAAGAGGATGGTGGGGTTTCCTTTTTTAGCCACTTACTTGTCCTTGAAGGAGTGCTGGTTCCTTGAAGTTCTCTCCCTTTGGGAAGCTGGTTCTATAGAAACCCAGATCCTCAAATGCACTAGTAGTCACAACTTAGCTCAACAAGTGAGCGGAAGTAATAACTATGAAACTAGCAGGTTAAGTAGAAATGATAAAGACAAAGAAATATTTGAAGAATGGATCAAGTTGGCTGTATTTACACAGTTGTGTGTTTAAAAAATATCTCTCAACTAGTCTATTTCTCACAAGTACAGATTTTTCTCTTAAGATTTTGGAAGGAGCGCATCTTCTTTCTTTCAAAATTGGTAAAAATCACTTTAGAGGGAATACCTTTTTATAGGCATTTCCAGAAAAGGAATCTTCCATAATTTGGGACATGGGAGAAGTCAACGCGTCCACCAATCATCTGCCTCCACATGTCTGAATGAAGTAACCATTTCTGGATACGTGTCGACCTAAGATTGGAGCACTTGTAAGACGGGCCGTGGACCTTCACGCATAAGGAAGAGTTGGAGACCACAGGATCTGCATGTATACTGCAGAGGCTTTGTGTCTGGTGTTGGCTTATGCATCGAAGACTTAGATTTTTGACGCGCATGTGTTCGGTCTTCATCCCTCTTTGCAATGAGCTCTGTATCCGGGTATCATCTTTGTATCCGAGCTCTTGGTTCCAGGCATCTTTCAGACTAAGACCTCTTGACTAACGCAAGAGACTTTTTACTTACACTTTTTAAAATAAACATTGTATTAGGCTCCCTAAGGGAGACTCCCTTCTAAGCTGGTCTTGGATGGTATTAAATGGTGAAGTCATCATCATCATCATCGTCTTTATTATCATCGTTGTCTCCAAGGTCCTATCCAACGTCAGGGATCTGAGGTTCTTCATCTTCTTCTTCTTCTTCATCATCATCTTCCTCATCACCAACATATTGCAATACAGATGTGGAGGAAAGGTCTTCATGAGTGCCAGAGCTATCATGACATCATCATTATCCTCAGCTTCAGCTTCATCAATTGTGATGGCAGGGATAATATCTGCATGGGGGATAAGAGCAAGGGCTTGTAGTAAATTGAAGGCGGCCACCTGGTCCAGTTGATGATGATCATATTCAATGAATGTGGGTTACTACAGGAGCTGAAGGATTTGACGAAGCAACTCACCATGCCTGGTGAGCTGAGCCTGAAATTCTTCGGCCTTGCTGACGATAGTAGCTACAGCCTCGGTGTTGACTCCAACTTAGATTGCATCGTTTTCAGTATATCCTTGACTTCACAGACCTCAGCTTTGACAACAGAGAGGCTATGAGTAAGGTCTTCCTTTATGGGCATTGCCTTGTGAACCTCGTCCATTTTGTCAAGGATGCTGGACACAATGAGCAGAAGAAGTTTGATATCCTCAACCATGTCATAAACATCAGTCTCCATGGCTGTGAGTTCAGTTCCAGAAGGAACTATAAAAATAGGAGAAACTTGAGCATAAGAGAGCTCTAAGCTAAGAGAGTACGTGAGGGGTCCTCAATGTCATCTGAAGGATTGACACTGGTATATGCACACGTGTCTTCCTAAAGAGAGGCAACAAGTTTTTGAGGTGCCTCGAGAGAAGCGACCTCAGTTCTTATGGTGAGTTCTTCACCACCAGTGGGGACAACCATTGGTGGATCATCAGCACAATTGATAGAGACCAAGAGAGAGGGAGAAGAAAGAATGGCTGAGAAAGTACGTGGGTG